CAATGTTTTACTCTACATCAATCTTTGTTTAAAATTTAGTTTATTTGAAATTTATTTAAAATGTGCTTTGTGTTTGTTTATTCCATATTAGCTAGAGGTATGGGGAGGGTTTAGATCTCACAAAACATGTTTAAACCCGCCGCATTTTGTGCCTGTATCAAGTCAGGAACCTCTAGCCTTTGTTAGTCTTGTGTGTGTGTTTTTTTTTTTTAATTTTGGTTCTTTTGTATATTTCGGACTTCAATGTGGCGTCAATTTTGCTGAACTAGTATACATTATTGTTAAGGGGCCAGCAAAAGCCCTCCTTCGGGTGTGGGATTTTTTTATTGCATTGAAGACATATTTGTGGCTTCGTGCTGTTTTTTGCTCTTTAGTCGGGTTATTGTCTCTTTGACACATTCCCCGTTTTAATTATCTGTTCTATTTTCATGGCGGGACCTGTTATAGTTTTTATGCAGTATGTGTTTTTCTCCTTGTTGAAGGCTATACGATGACCTATAGTTGCCAATAATTTTCCTCTCCTCGTTCTGATGACGATTTCCATCATAATTGTTCCTACACTATAAATGTTTATCCATGTTTTCTTGTCTGCTTAATTCAAGAAACTTCGTCATCGGTGAATTCGGGTTGGCTGTGGAGTCGTAAATAATAATTCTGAAAGCGGAATTATAGAAATACTACTTCTGCAAAGAATGGTTCCAATATCCGAATTGTTAGATTTGTTTCCCTTCGAGGGGAGACATTATATAAATAACACATAGCTGAGAGGGTGATAGAGCATATTGTTACCCCGAGAAAACATTTTATGTTCTTCTTCGCTATACTCATACGAACATAAAGATTGTCTTAATAATACGTAAATAAAACAAAAAGCAATGTGGGATGAGAAATTGTACTGATCAGTTTAATATAAATAAATTGTGACAATTCTGGTCATGTAAATCATGGTCTCCGAATCTCCGAATAATGGTAGGAAATCTACAAATATAGAAATGTTCAATCAGAAAAGAGATAACCCTATTTAATAACATATCATGAATGCAAAATATACGTGTCGATCTGATCAGTGAATTTTCTCGACAAGAGAAAAGGCGCGAAATCCAGATATATATGTATGAAAACCGAATTACCGAGTCTAAGCGTATGCGAATATTTATAAGCCAAATTAAGAAATGAATGTCAATTGAGGCAAAGCCAAGGTTGACAATGTCTTTTCGAGGGGTATCAATCTGCCACTCTGCCAATCTAATGTATTTCTGAAAGGGGACAACACCTGCAAAAATTTCTTTTGAATCACATTTCCCTGAAATTTTCTTTCTATCAATTTTCGTCAGTTAGTTTTTTGGACAGAATATGTTATAGAATTGAGTTCTGAAAGATTACCACATTCGGGCACTATTCAAACAAAGTGGTAAATTTAGGTTTCTGTGACCGTCGGTAGTCTTTTTTGTTGGAATCACGTCTTCCTCCACCAACAAAACAGAGCACCACGATTTATCTGAGATATTGTTGAAAGTGGCGTTAAGCTTTCATAAAAAGAAATTAATTTTGTTATCTTTGTGTCAGGGGGATATATTGAAAGCGGAATATTCAGTTTCACCTGTTGCAAGGCTTGCTTAATTATTTGCTGGGCAAATATTTTTCGACTTTATTCATTTTGTTTTGCCGAATATTCAATGTAGCTTGCCACCGCTTTTGTGCAATAGTCTATATCGCGACGAGCTAGTATATCTAAAGTTGCACTTAATTAAACTCTGATGCAAAGATGGGTCGCAGAAATGATGAGCAAAAGAAAATTTGGACTGTTCGTCAACGAGACTGCAACCCGACGACATAAATAATCAACATACATCTAGAGGTCACCATACAATCATCAACAATATACAAAAAAGCGCATTGAACACAGGTAAAGACGCTTGCGAAGAGAAAACTATTAAAAATAAAACTTTTGTTAATGCGAGCTCCCCACAATCCAGAGGGTATATCAGGTGTCATAGAGGTGTAAGAATATCCTACTTCGCATGCGCTACAGTCGTACTGGCCTGAGTTCAACGTTGACAATCATGGCAATAGTTAGTAGTTAGTAATTATAAAAATCTGAAGGATAAATGAATACTCAAAGAAAAATATGAAATAAAAGAACTTTGAGAACCAAGGAAACTATTTTTATTCTCGTCTATCCTCTTTATTGGAAATATTAAAATGGTATCTAGCTGTGACGATTGTACAAAATTATATCTAAATATAAAATGCATGATGTAATTATAATAATACTTGGGTTTCACAAAATTACATCCTCTTTCCGTTTTACTTATTATAATATCCGACATCATTTATCATGTAAAATGAATACAGACTAACAGACATATATGTTAATGAATGCACACATTTTTTTTGTTTTAATATGTATAATTTCTTAATAAATTTTACTACTAAGTTATTGACTAACAATCTTAATCTTTGGATTCTTCTACTTCTACAAAAAGTAATAAAACATAACAACTCAAGTATCAAGTATGTAATTTTTAATGGTTGAGTCATGCTGGAAGTGGAAGGTCTTTTCTTGAAGAGACCGGATCAAATGTAACGAGAATATTCAAATGAACTACACTTTATTTGATCGGACATTTCCAAGTCGGTTTTTTTGCAACAACATTATCCATATATTCAATAGGTGATTTGTTTCCTTCTGATTATTGATTATGATACTTAATCATGCATATGGAACTGCGTATAATTTTGATTAATGATAAGGAAGGATACATATATAGAATAATTGAAACTCATGGCGCTACATAATTTGTCATTTATAATTGTTGCATACTAAAAACCGGTATACACGGAAAAATATATATTTACAAACCCAGAATTAGAATGTGTCTAATGACACTGTTGAAAAAGGCAGTAATTTTTAATTAGTAGCCTGTAATGGCAGCAATTGTTGATGCAAACATCTTAAATCTATTTAAACACTTTTAAAATATTTGAAACTTTTAGTAGCGAGAGCTATTGCCTTCTGTTGACGTCGGATCCGTTATAAAGTTGTCTGCTAATGTTTTCAAAAACCTTCTCCTCTAAAGCCCTGGCTTTTCAATTTTTATGTTTGAGCTTTCCTGTTGAGTTTAAACCGGAAACGCACTTTGGACGCACACAATATATAAAGGTAAATTTTCATTTAGTACCGATAAACGCAACATTCAAATATATTACTAGAGTGTTGATTGATAATTTCAAAGAAAGAGTTTATGAAAAAGACCAATATTTGTTTTTGAATCGTGTCTTTAATTAGGACCTCTTTAAAAACGTAACCGTCATAATTAGAATACGTATTGTAATAAGATTTAAATAAGTACAGTCAAACTTCCAAACCAAATCTTTGTATCTATGAAAGCATTTTGTAAAGGTTTCGGCACAACTTTGCGAAACATTTGATTTTTTTATGCACTCAAACTTCGTTTTCGATTTGAATTTCCAACTATTTTGCTTCGAGCGCCAATGATGAACCCTATATATAGACGAACGAGATGCGCCAAAAACTACTTCAATTTTTTAGACCATAATGCAGCATCGAATTTGAATATTATACACTTATTAGCTGGTTATGAGGGAAATATCAAGTTTGTTGTCTCTGAGAAACCAACTTTTCCCCGCATACCCAGTCATTAAAGTTTTATTCAACCCAACAAGACAGCTTTCAAAGAAATCTACATACACCACCTGACAAAGAAAAAGTAAAATATGTCACATTTTACATAAATATGCAAATGATGTACACGCTATATATGTATTTTTGTCCATGTGTTATTTGTAGATATTTGGTTCGCTGCAATCAAACCAGATATCTTTGTGTTAAAAGAGTGTTTCTGCTTTTACGATAGCTTAAGGGTTCCTATTAGTTTAAGCCGAGTTAAATGCCATCACTTTAGGTATGATATGCATATTTGCAACAACAAGCTTTGATAACACAGCGTGTATAAACTGGACGTTCAAACACTCAAAATTACTTCAATCTTATTCTTTTTCACGATCAGCACAAGTTGACACCATTTCATCGTTTAGTGTTCCTGTCAGGTGCAAAAACAACCCTCAATGAGAAAACTATCGTCCATACAAGGGTAAAACTATATGGCCACGACGACTAAGTGTCGGGACCATATAGTTTTACCCTTTTCCGTCATTCCGTCATTCCGCAACGAACAATTGTACGGACTTTTTTTTCTAGACGCTTTCACAGATTGAACTGATATTGAGTATGTGAGTCTTCTATGATGAATTACAGATCGAGTTTACGTTTGGTTCCGCTCCGTTGATTTTTGCCGAAATTACGGCTTTGGACTTTGAAAATTTCGTAAATATAACAGCTAAACGGACCTTTTTCCAAACGCTTTCACTTATTGAGCTTATTTTAGTTTACATTTGAGTCTACTATGATGTATTTCAGACCGAGTTTACGTTTAGTTCTGCTCCGCTGGATTTTAAACCTTTCATTTCAAATTCCAACTCCATTAATGATTTCAAGCTATTTGACATGTCATGTCATGTAATTTTTCCTGATAAATTATTTTCAAAAGGGTTTCTTCTTTCACAGATGGTTTGCATTTTGTTCGAAAAGCACAAAATCGAAAAAAAAGTATTTGCTTTGTTTGCTCCAGAGAAGCACGATACCTTTTCTGGTAAAGAATTTACTCTTTTAATCCCAAATGGACTAATATCATCATGAGTCGCTAATTAGGAAATTACATTTTGTACTTAAATATCTAATTTGTTATATAATATCCTGTTATCAAGAATTCAAGTGATTTATTTGTGATTTTTTTGGGGGAATTTCCGATAAATCTCCAACGACAATATTCTATATTGTGCACAATACAATAGGGAAATACAACTGTCATGAATTGGGTATTTGTACTTTATTCAAAGTTAGAATAAATTCTGATATATTTTCGCAATAGAAGGACTTTATAGACATCATATCAAATCGGTGAGAATGAATAATTCATATTTTCATCGGACAGTTTTAATAATTTTGAACTCATGAACTTTTTCCATAAAATTGAATGACATGTGCTTGCAACCAATTATTTAAGCTGTGATAATTGTTACACATGTCGTTATTTTGCATGATGTTACAAATAAGGTATGCTATCTGTAATTATTCCAACACAATTATACCGTTGAAACTTTACGTTTGCCGTAATTGAAATGCCAAAATACTGCGCTGTTAACCATTTTTTACTGTTTTGTTTAAGTTTGACCCTTTCTAGCCATCTTGTTAATCAATTTTCGAAAATTGGTGAATTATTTATATAGGACAAGACACAAAAGTTGAACAAATTCGCATTATTTTCTTACTCGCGGAAGTCGAGTAAATAAACCGTTCGCAAAAATAAGTTGGTTTTATAGTATGTGTAAAATTCAATAGTCTCATTGTTGCTGTCTGTCGTATTTATTTTTCGTTTGATGTTTGACCATGATCAGACCAATGGTTTTCAATTTTGAATCACTCCACCTTTTGTAACATTATATATGTCCCATAAAATCATTTACAATATCTATAGCAAATTACGGTAAGGGACCAAGACCCTCCTGATTTTAAAATACTTTCCAAGCAATATTACAAAAGAAAAGTGCAAGTGGAAAATAGGAAGGAAAAGGTACCCTAATAATAAAAGAAAAGAAAAAAAAAACAGAAGTGAAAAAAAAAAAAAAAACACTTGGAGAAAAAAAAACGGAATTAAAAAACCAACAAAAATGACACACAAATGTTGAAGTTCAGAAAAAAACTACTGGGAAAAACCCATAAAACCTGTGGTGAACATAAGTGCTCCGGAAAAGTCATAATTTCTGTTCTATTGTTTGAATCGTCTTGATAATCTTGGCAAGTTAAATTTCACAGATAAGTTGAACTCGGTCACTCGGTGTCACTGGAAAAAGGGGAACTTTAGTGTGACAGAGACTAGTGTATGATATCAAGAACACTCTATGAAACAGATGTTAAATAACAGTCAGGCAAATCATGACGACGATCGTAAAATTTTCGAAATGGAGACATAATGTATACTGCATTGTTGTCAATAATAATATTTACTTATTTGAATATAAGTCAAATAAACTGAATAAAAGATTTTTACATGAAGAGATTACCTACCGATTTAGAAAAATGCATGGTAAAATTATAATTTTCCAACATTAAAAAATAGCATCCTAAAATGTAAATGTGCCTTCTTTCAAATACGATTTTATTTACTTTTTAATTTGATTTCATCGGTAATTCTTACATCATCATTATTAAATGGTCCTTTCATCTAAAACCATTAGCAGTGGTTGACAATGAATTATTTTGAAAGCTTCCACATTAAGTAAACATATAATTAATATTATAGGTAATGATCATAATTAATTGAAAATTTGTATACAAAAACACTATATATCATAACCAATAGAGATATGATATCCGTATTTTCAGATATTTGCAACATGTGGAATCAAGAAATTATATTGTACATTTATTCTGCCTTTCTTGCTGGTGAGTGGACGATTATTTTCATTTTTATTAATTTACACTTATTTAAAACATAATAATAAAACAACAGGTTGTATACCTATTTAAAAGAAAATTGAAATGAAAGTTTTATTCTTATTGTTATGTTTCGTTCTTTCGGATTTTCCTGATTATAATTTACGCACCAAAGGTTACATTTAAAATTGAAACATTTTCCTTATATCTTTATTATGGTTGAATACAGAAATTATAGTCATTATTTTATAAAAAGTAAAATAACACGTTAATACATGCAGCAGCGTTATATTAAAATTGAGTCAGAAGAATCCAAAGCAACATTGAAAACTCGAGATAAGCTGCCAACTGCTTGTCAATAAGACCTCAAAACGCCTCACAGAGAAACAAATAAGTCATACGAAACACGAACCAAACCTTCAAAAGTGGGTTTAATTTCAGGTGAGCACATCCTGCTCCACTAGTGGCAACTATCGTGTTGCTCATTGTTAATACTAATTAGTTGGACACATTTCATTCAGTGATATCACAATCGGCGAAAGAAGAACAGGATTGTAGAAAGGTCTGTTGAAACATAACTTATGCAATTTCGGACACAAATATCCTATGACAGTCAACCAACTCATGATGGCGTTCGTAAAACGTTTAAAAGAATGTCCTCAACTTGACCAATTGGAAATCTTTTGTTCAATACATGCACTGTTCCCTACAACCCTCTATCATGAAAATCATGATAGGACTAAAAAGGTCAGGAATATCGGATCAACTGAAAGATATATACTCCATATTTGCAGTCGCTGCTTGAATTCTGGCACATAAAAAACGGAGAATTCACAATTGGAAAGCTGACATAAACCCCTTTGTTGGACATTTTAGATCTCATTATCAATGTCGAGACGCAAGGCAAGTTATGATACCGACTAAACTGTATATGTGGTAACTTTTATTTTAATTTTGATGAGATACATACGTTCAACATAGTCACTTATGTTTGAATTATTTAGTGAGAGAACATCATCTATATAGTAAAATTTATAGTTACAGAACGGTAATTTTCAAGATTATATCAATATCATTTATTCAATACTTTTCTTTTCTTTTGAATTTGCTTTGCTTTTCTGTAAACAAAATATATAACTACACTGAACGTAGTAATATCATTGCTAAGCGATTGCAGAATGTATGCTTTTGAATTGCCCTAAGGATCCTATCATTTTGTTTTATTTAAGACATGTTTTGATTTAAGAAGTTTTCGCGCACCCACCTATACAAAACCCTGATATGTATGAACAGTGATAAATATATTTCATACATTCTTCGGACAAAATTTCACAATTTGTTTCATGTTATTTTTTTTTTTTTTTAAATATCTACCAATCATGATAAAAGAAATCACAGTTGGTTAGTGTAGGGATTTAAAAATATGTTGGGATAATTTTACAATTATAAGCTACTACATTGGTAGATGGTATGTTTGTTTTGTCATGACTCCTACAAGGTGTCATGAAGTACCAAAACAGGTAGAAACGTAAACCCCCTACAGGAGTTTGCATACAAGTGCTGCATCCAAAATATTAAAGCAATTTTAAATTATGAAAAAAGTAAGTGTTCTATTTTTTAAGGTTTAGGAGTTTCTATTGAGCTATATGTGACACTAGGCTCAACAGCAGAATTAAACTGTCCATTCAAGAAAACCACAGATGCTATAATATGGAGAGGGCCGCAACAACTCTCTACCTATGCCATTAACAACAAAGTTAACATTGACATCCCTCATTCAAGTAGAATAAAGATATCTGGCAATTTTACAGCCGGTGAATACATTTTAAAGCTACATAACTTCACAAAAGATAACGAAGGAACTTATCAATGTGATACCATTAACAACAACACGGCAGTGAAGTTCAAGATCGTAATGAAAATAGCAGGTATATTGCTTTAAACATTCGCTAAGCATAATTTCAGATCATTAGACATTGAGAGTAAATATTACTCTATTTATTATTAAGATTGATGAATGCTTACGCTTATTCATTACAATTTTTTCTATTATTCGTTCGAATGATGCTCATTTTTATGTCAGCCTATTAATTTTTAATTACGACAATTACAGTGCATATCTGGCCGATGTTCAAATGTCATAAATTTATTACAAACAAATTAAATTGAAAAACCAAGAGGGTTCTAAAAAGAGCGAGATCACATGCATCGACAATTTAAGCAACTAGTGCTATGCATACATCGTCCACGATGCGAATATATATCCAGTCAAAATATCTGGAATAGGCGTTTGTCGGTATTTAAAAATCAGATGATCTTTGTGGTATTTACATATGTGAATGTGTCCCATTTTCAATTTAGAAATTTAAAGAAACTAAGGTTCAAACTCTGTCAGGCAAAATGGAGCTATTTTGGATTTGTTTATAATTTTTAGGTTCTTTTTGGTCATATAGCTCTTTACCTGTTTCGGTTCTTATACATCATTGGCTTTCAAATATTTGGCTTTGAGATTTCTTAAACATAATAAATAAATACTGACAAATTGGTGCTGAACAAATTAAAAATTAAAAACATCTTCTGTAAAAGTTTTGTAAAAACATATAGAAATAGAAGAAACCAACAGGACGCAAACGTTTTTGAAGGACTCCAAGTCCATAAAAAACTGACAAAATCATTATAAAAATTTATCAATCAACGAAACGTATGGAAAACTACGGTCATATTCCTACCTGGGTACAGACATTTGTCGAAAGAAAATGTGATGAATTGAACCTGGGTTTTAAAAGAATAGCAACTTTATAACTTTATGAAGTCATTCGCTCCTAATCTAAAAAGGTTCAATTGTTGAGGATAGCAATTTCGATTATATATCATATGCTATTGTGATTAATATATTTAATCTTAAAACATATTATTGAATTGTATTGGTAAGCCTTAAACAATCATATTGAATGCAGTTTATTTAAAGTTTGTAATCCCAAACAATAATATGCTTTTCCTTATTGAGTTAAGGCAACTCATCCAATTTAGAAAAAAGCAACAGTTTAAAGTAGAGATGTCAGCGATTGCTCGAGTATTCGCTCGGTAGTACCGCGTAAAGAATACCAAAACGATACTCGACTAATCAGTTTCCTGTTAGAATATTGCTGTCTTCTTCATATAAAATTGATCTTCTTGAGTGCCTCTTTAGGAAAATTAAATAGGCACCATTAATTAATTAACTAGTATATAAAATACATTTTGTTTCGAATGTGCTCAATTGCCATTTAAAATGCAACCGAAAATACGTAGGCTATACATAGGCTAACACTTTAAACTAAACATGTCTTAGCCATTCTGTCACATCCGTACCGTCAGAAAAATTATTTTCGTCTGCAAGACTGTAATTTATCAAGTTTCAAAATCGACTTTCCCCATTATAGTTGGCAAGGAAATGTTTCCAAATAACATAAATTTGTTGCATTCTATGGTAACCCTCAATGAATAGTTGAACTTATGTCTTTGTAAACAGTAAATGTGTTTTCATAACGATTACCAAATACTGTTGTTTGATATGGTTTTCCTCTGTAATAGTTTTTAAAATGTTCATTAAATTATATTGCTTAGATATTTGTTTTTTAAACCAAATTAGAACTTATAATAGGTAATGAACTATTAATTCTTTGTTCCAGATACTTATATAGATGGTGTTTCGTCAGTTGAACAACACACCACAGAATGTAAGATACGTATGGCTGCGTGTAATAGATATATTTCCTAGCGAATACTAAAGTACCGTCCGATCAACAACGAGCACTCGATGAGAAATTGTTTACCGAGTTGATACGCTTGTTTAAAGCGCTATTTACACTAACAGCGAAAAATGCGTGTTATAGATATATTTCCTAGCGTGTATTAAAGAACCGCCCTATCAACAACGAGCACTCGACGAGTAATTGTTCACCAAGTTGACATCGTGTGTTTAAAGCGTTATTTACACTAACAGCAAAAAATGTACACCAATTTGGGTTATATGGCGTAAAGATTATCACATAGACTGCATATGTTTTCATCAAAATCCACCTTTTAACGCAATGCTTATCTTTAAATAAAAAATATCAATGATGTAAAACATATTATTTTTTAATTCAATCAACAATTCTCATGTTATTTGTGTATCCTTATATTACAACTCATCAACAGATATGTCTCTATACTTCTTATCTTACAACCACCATTCAAACTCTTGATTGATGTGATAATTACACTGACATCGTGTTCACACTATGAAATCTGCTGCGGACCGAAACCGGGATAATTAATCCGAACTAATTACCCCAGATCACACACAATGAAAAATTAACCCTGTTTGGGATTTTCCCTCTCCACAAAAAATAAAAATGTAGGTACCAAAATTGTATCCCGCATCTGTCTACTGTATATATTTACATTGTTATTAATCACAGTTGCATTACTTCAATGTGTGAAATTCGTCACGGCACTTTTGATCGACTGCTTCGGGGGAATTCCACATTAGCCACTTTCCGTGTTTTCAAAGAAAATCATTTTATTCAAATTGCACTTATTTTATGCGACTGTCATACAAGTGAGAGGTTTATCTAGCTTTAAAACCAGGTTTAATCCACCATTTTCAACATAAGAAAATGCCTGTACCAAGTCAGGAATATGACAGTTGTAATCCATTCGTTTGATGTGTTTGAGCTTTTGATTTTGCCATTTGATTAGAATCAAGATTGCTAATTTCGTTAATATGCTTGGTAACATCATAAACAAAATTGTCATTTCCATTTTCAAAATTTACGTCTTATCAATTGACGACATCACTTTAATGATATATCACACAAGACGTTACCATATAAACCTGTCTGAATCTTATGCATCTGATGTATACTATACGTCTAAGTCGGTATATTAATCATTATCGTATTATTGATCCATTTCTTGCCATGAACAACTCTATTGAATCCACTGATCAAGTGTGTTGAAGACCGTACTGTGACCTATAATGGTTTACTTTTATAAATTTTGACTTGGATGGAGAGTTGTCTCATTGGCACTCATACCACATCTTCTTATATCTATATATGTTGTGATGTTTCACTATTGTTTCGGATAAGAGAAAAGGCTGGCAACTATGAAAACGTTTAAACCCGCTGCATTTGTTTGCACCTGTTCTAAGTCAAGAACCTGATGTTCAGTAGTTATCATTTGCTGATGTGGTTCACAAGTATTTCTCGTTTCTCGTTTTTTTATATAGATTAGACCGTTGGTTTTCCCATTTGAATGGTTTGATACTAGTCATTTTTGGGGCCCTTTATAGCTTACTCTTTGGTGTGAGCCAATGATTCGTGTTGAAGACCGTACTTTGACCAATAATGTTTTTTTCACAAATTGTGAATTGAATGGTGAGTTGTCTAATTGGCACTCATACCACATCTTCTAATATATATAAACAATTCACATAAAAATTGTCAACGACGCAAAGTCCAGTACAAATATTTTTCTTCAGAAAAGATATCATAAACACAACCAACAACAACCGAAATAAATCTATATCTTTATATTTAACTATTTAATTATGCATACAAGAAATATTACATACAGCAGTTAAATTATTATAATATGTGATAGGTAAGTGCTTTAAAGATACTAAATATCTTTACATATTATAGATTATTTATTTTTAATAAATGACATGTATTTTATTAGATAACTTAAGTTTTTAATTTTTCAGTTCCAGATGTTAGAATAGAGAATAGAAATATCTTTTGTGACATGTGTTCAACAATCAATCTAACATGCCAGACAACTTCGGATATAGCTTTGATATTTGAAAGTATCTGGGTTCATACCTATAACAACGTCATTATCGACAAAATGGCTGGTCAAGTAATTGGCACATTTTCAGTAGTTTCTATACCATTTTGCGCCTTAAAGGATTCTGGAAATTAATCTTGTTATTGGTTCAATAAAACAGCAGAATATTTTGCTCAAACAACAGTACATGTAAGAAGTAAGTATGTGTTTAAAAAAAGAGTAACATACTAGTTGTTAATATCACACTAAAATATACTCTTGTGTAAATTGCTTTGAACATGAAAAACTTCAAACTAGGTATTTGATGGCATTGACTGGGTAAGCATGCATCACCCGACATACGAATCTACACTATCAAAATGTCATCATCTTGAAAAGCGCACAATTGAGAGAAAAATAAACGCGGTAAAAATTACAGATCAGACAATTATTCTGGCATTCAAAGACCTCAGAGTGGAAAAAATATTCTGTAAGTTGATATACAAACATATCATATCGGTTAAATAGATAAGTGACGGCGAACGTAAAACTTGTGGAGTATCAATTTCAGCCATTCCGTGTCACCTATCAAGATACAAACGTTCCAGTTTCTGTGTTGTCTTAATTTCAATTTCACTGAGATATATGAGATGCAAGCACGCACCGAAATGTGTGGTATTAAATGAAAGTGAATTTAACATTATTTAAGCACTTTGCAAGATTGTTTTTCTTTGGCTTTGAAAAGGTGTTGTATAATACTGATTAATATGAGTCCTCAAATAAGTCGGGCAATAAGGATGCACTATTACTACCCATTGGTTTACTAACTGTGAACTGAAATATAAATCCAACAAACAAAAAAACTGATACTTCAGTATTCTCAAATAAAATGTTACATAACTCTTTTAAAAGGTTAAAAATAAGACCATCAATAGGGATTAAGCCATGACAAAATTAATAACTAATGATGACAATTACATTTTCTGCAAATAATAGTCACAAGTAAAGATTTACAAATAAGTTCAAATGCTTAATTAATTTAAAGCTTCTTTTGTTTTTGCTTAAAATACAAAAAAGATTCAAAATCGACATTAACGACCAATAACTCCTTTAAATGACACCTGCCATGTTATTTCATCGTAGATCCGGTCTTGTTGATCTTTTGTGCTATTTAAATTTCAAACTATTGGAATGACAGTTTTTACAATTTTGTTTCATTTTTGCATAGATCAAAATTGTAAGTAGAAAACAATGATTAACAAAAACCGGTCAACAAAAAAGATTTGAGTCATTAATCATAATTTGTCTAAAAATTTGAAGAGGGTCTGTTGTTGAAATGCATATAGACCTAGGTGATCAATACAGGCTCTTTTAAACCTCTAGATTGTATTAAGTCAGTTTGTTACAAAGAAAGATTTTATAAACTACAACAACAAAACTGGATCTTCAATTTCCATTTTTGTAAAAAAAGGTCCGTTCAATGAGACAATACAATCGATCTTCCAGAAAACTAAATTTCTTAAATACTCAACATCTCATTGATACCGTTGGTTGAATATAGCTCTCACAGAACTTCTGACGGCCATTTTATACAGTAGAAGTATTAGTGGTACGAATTTGATAACTATTTTTAGTCGAAGATCATGACGACCCTGATGTTTAATGTTCTTTATTTGGATTTTTGTGAAGTTGAGGTATCCAGATATTTATTCTCCCTTTTTATTTTATATAAAAAAATAGACTGGGTATATATTGGATTTCAGTTTGTTATGAAATCCGAGGTCTTCAGTTAGTCATTCAAATATAATGATCTTTGCATATAAAACAATATTGGCACGAATATGACAGTTGTTTTCCATTTGTTTGATGTGATTGACCCTTTGATTTTGCTTTTTGATAAGGGGCTTTCCGTTTTAATTTTTCCTTTTTTGTTAGAGGGTTTTTCTACTCGAATACAAAAGATGAGCCGCTAAGAAAGGGTAGAACACCAATAATTCCGGGCTTCCTGAAACATGTGAAAGGACAGGAAACCATTATGCGCTTTTGTATGTCTTTATCTTATCAAATAAAAAGTCCAGTTTTGGTACATGCCATCATGACTATTTGTCAAGCTTATTACTAGCATTGTGTGTCTTAATTATATATTTGAAATGTATTTTTTATTTTTCATTAAGGCCGACCTGTTTTCACTGAAAAGAAAGTAATGAATCACGGGAACAACATATTTTTGGAAGTAAAGTTTTATTCTGATCCGAAACCTGATATGGTTTTTTGGTATTACAATGACAACAACATAACATCTGAAGATAAGTATGAAAGACTTGTGGAAACTACCACTATAAAGCTCACTATTAAAAAACAAAATATAACGGCCAATGGGTTTGTTGCCATATTGATTATAAAAAACTTCACAGCATCTGATATAGCTGTGTATAGATGTTGCGTCAAAAATGCAATAGACGTCATTGATGTTCACTTTAACAAGTACACAATAGTTGAAGTCTTGCCGGAAAGAAATGGGAACGAAACACACGCGATGACAGGTTAGTTTAAACATTCAAATGATGTTTTCGTAATAGAAAATATTGAAAATACAAAAATAAAGGAATGTGATAAGGCAATAATTCGTATTTCAGATGATGTATTGTTTTTCTAAAAGTGGATATAAAACATAAGCATGGAAATGTAGGACACGGTTAATACTTCCGGCATTCTAAGAAAACCTAGAAAAAAGTAAAATCACAAAAATACTGAACTCCGAGGAAAATTCAAAACGGAAAGTTATGGTTATTGCTAACTTTTCGACCATTTATATCCATTCAATATCCTCTCCTTTCAATTTTATGATCAGAACTTACACATGTTATTATACTGCTATACAAGCAAAATTCAAAATGTTGTAGTACCAATGCAAGTGCGTCAATAAAAAGTCATCGTATACGATTTCAATGTCACTTTCAGTAGCAAGTGTCTACACAAAGATCGTGTCAATACTAGAAATACTAATAAAAGTTAGATCGTCATTTGTAGGTATGTCAGGTCTGTGACAATAAACAAATAAAAGAAACAAAGAAAACTTGAACTTCTATTATTCAATCTACAAAATTAAGACGACGTTATTATTTGGACAGTTGTTTATTGAAATATTGAATTTTAATCGCCATATTCTTCTTTTCGCAAAATGTGAAAATGGCGACCGCCAGCGGAAACCTTGATCTTATACGATTCCAATGTCACTGTCAGTAGCAAGTGTCTACACTAGGATCTACACTATACTAGAAATACTAAAGTCAGATCGTCATTTGTGGATATGTCAGGTCTGTGACAATAAACAAACGAAAAAAGGAAAATGTACAAACATGTAGTCCGTTGTTGTTGACTTCTTCATTTTTAAATATGGAAATGTAAAACAAAAAACACTTGAATTAATATTATTCAATCAACAACATTCATATAATGTTTAATGTACATATATTTTGTTTTAGAACTAAACGTTATTATTTGGACAGTTGTTTATACTGCTATCAGTAGTGCCGTAGCTCTTTTAGCAGTGATCACAGTCATGATTGTTCGAAGAGGACAAACAGTAAAGATAAACCAAACAAGTAATGTATTGATGACCTTTACTTTAACAAAGATTAAGAAGATACCATTTGGAAATCATAATTCAAATAATAACGGACAACAGCATGGACGAAAATAAAAACTAGGAAAGGACAAATAACAATAATGAACATCACATAAAAAACTAAAGACTAAGCAAACGCGGTGTGAACTCAGGTGCTCCATAAATGTAAGATGGGTTCTGCTCAAATGTGCATTAATGTGACAGCCATTGTGTTGCTGAAGCAAGTGAAAATCCGGTTATAAATCGTTTTAGGTAGTGTCACAACTCAATGCTGAAAGACTTTCTGTCGTTGAAGTAAGGGATTATTATTTGTGTTGCTTTGCTTAATGTTTTATTTTATTTCAAATAAGATACATTTGGTAAATGTTTATCTGTTTTATGTATTCCAACCGTTTGCTGATGTAAATGATAACAGGAATCATAACTTTGATTTTAACAAAAACGCGTTATTTTTTACCTCAAATGAACGTCTAGTTTTAAAATGAATACATTATATTTTGCCATGCAAATGTTTTGCGTAGTTTTTGGTGAAATTTCTAGTATACGGTCATTGAATTTCGTGTAAAATAAATTGAAAAATATCTTTATCTTTGTTTTATTGTAGTGATAGTAAATGATACCAGAATGCAACAGGTCAATGCAAGATTGTAAGTAGTTATAAATGGTGTATGATCAATGTTTTCTACGTTAAATATTAACTTGTCTTAAAAGCGAAACCTTCAAGAATTGCTCTCCCCCGTAATGTATAAAAATAAACATGCAAATTTTGAAAAGATTTCTTTCGCGGTATTTTAATGAAACAGTTAAGGGATAATTTATTCAGTAACGCTCATAAATTCTTTATTACATTTTTTTTCTCAATTATTTCTTTTTCGATCAGATTTTTCAACATTTAACCGGCAATGTAAGTTATTTGAAGATCCAAAACCTTGTACAAATAGTGAAGAGCCTTAAAGTTAAAAAAAGCCAAACCCGGAAAAGGAATTATAGCTATACACTAGATAGATACCTATTCAAAATCATTTAATCATAGAAACATATTTATCTGTTATCTTTTAATAATTATGCAGGCTAAACCTGTTTCAGCACTTGTAGGCCGGTGGCCGAAATCCAAAAAAGTATAATCTGTTCCTTTCCTTTCTATAAACATATTTAAAAATTACACTTAGTCCATTTGCCTATCATTTGTAAAGATAAACATTATTTGGAATATCAGTTTATTATGCAAATGATATACGCGTTTAAACTTGTTGCATTTTTAACAACTGTTTGATAACGGGTATTTACATGTCAAAAAAACTTTAATTTTTAAAATTATTTCAAGATACAAACGCCCAAATACGAAATTTCAAGCAACAAATCCAAGACTGAATGTTCAATTTTTCGGAATATTTCGGAAATCATTTGTATGTTAAAATTCTAAACAGCAAATTTCTCCCCAAATCTAATTTCGAATTAAACATGCAGCAAGTTTACCCCACAAAAACGGGTAATCATATCCTTTACACATGTGGCACTCGTCGTGTTGTTGGTGATACGTCTTGTTCGGTACGTCACATTCGGGAAAAGGGATAACACGAGTGTAGTAAAGGCGATTGAAACATATCAGTAGTCATATGTTTAAAACAAAAACGACAATTTTTTAGGGAAACTGAGCGTAGTTGGCATATCGATGCTTCGGAATCTGCATATAGTAAGAAAAAAACTGTCGCCTCATCAAACAGCGCGTAGAAAAAATAACACTTTTAACATATTACGTCCAAGAAATAACAAAGTACTATCAAATTCTACGCAAGTGTTAAAAGTATGAATTATTCGAAATACTAAGGATTTTCTTATCCCAGGCATAGATAACCGTAGCCGTATTTGCACAACTTTTTGGAATTTTGAGTCATCAATGCTCTTCAAATTTGTACTTGTTTTTCTTTCTAACTATATTGATCTGAGCGTCACTGATGAGTCTTATGTAGACGAAACGCGCGTCTGGCGTATTAAATTTTAAGCCTGGTACCTTTGATAACTATTTTCTGATATATAAGACGTGTCTTAATATCTACAATTTCTTTCTCTTCAGAAGTCTTGAGCAACGAAGTACATCACATGACAGTATCAATTCCAATCGGGAATATGAGGATATTGATAGTGTAATTTCAAATACAGATAACCACCACAACATACTAGTAGACACTTCGTACGTTAATGAAATAATGAATGATAGTTTACACGAATATTACAATGAAATATCTAATGAGTATGTTGATCTGAATACTAATAGGGAACTACACACTTATTGGACATATGATGGAGAATATCAATATTTATAGTTACATGTATGTCGTAATTCAAATGTTCAAATACTTAAAACATATTTGATATATGTTTCCTGAAATGAAACCTTGTAATTTTCAGGTATTTTGTGAAAGATCAAACAATATTAATTAAAATTTTATGAATAACATTAACAGTACCGGTTATACTACACCTGATGCGCATTTTGACAATAAATGTCTCTTTAGTGATGCTTAAGATTAATATATTTGAAAAATCAAAACCTTATGAAATAATTCTGGGTTGAGTGTAACTTACGTATTAAGGGGGCTCGAGGGTACAAATCCATTAAAAAAAAGAAGGATTTCGCTATTTTTTTCTATAAATGAACTTTATCATATAGTTTACAGAAAAATAAAATAAAAAAATGGGGTCACCATTCATCTAAGCTCACAATCTGACTTCAAAAGAAGCATGCATTTTTGTTAAGGTATTTTTTTCCTGTTGAACTAATAGGAGAAATAGAGGTAATATCGAAATTAAAAAGAACTAAATTACAGAAATCGCTTACTTATATTTTACAATTGTTTAGTTTAAGTACAGCTTATTTGAAAAAAAAAATATAGGTCACCGATGAGTTAAGAAAGATATTTCAATTTTTAATGCAAAAATTGGCTTTTTTGCACAAAGGGAGATAACTTGGAGCTTTTTCAATGATATAAACATTTCAAAAGTCATCTGGGGCCAAACCGAATTGATTTTTGAGGTTGATTTTTTGTATAATAAATAAAGACAAACTTGCATCTAACATAATTCAAATATTTTCGACACATTTTTTTTTTTGGGGGGGGGGGGGGGGGGGGGGGGAGAAATGAACTGTGTACTATTGAAGTTTATTTCTGTCTTTACTGTTATTAATCACAGGTAATGCAGGAATACTATTTGATTAGGAGTTCAGTGTACAATTCTCATTGTTGCTAAATTTTACAAATTTATTCATGTAAAGTGGTTGACTCCTTTATATAATGATTATTTCTCGGCTGGGTTGATTTGAATTTCACAAAATTTGTAGTGGCGCATACGATTTCGACGTACGTAGTGTATTTGAAATACAAAATAACTTGTGTAGCTGCAAATGAGACAACAATAACGTTTAGTTCTGATATGTTGGGGAGCAATGATCTTACATTGACATGTATGCAATGAAGGCTTGTTGTTTTTTTTTTAAATAAAGAAAAGGATCTTCATAAACATTTAATGCAAAGGTTAAAAACAATGTTTTGCCAAAAATGTTACTTGTCTCTTCACCAATATGTTTATCTTTTAAAATACAAAAGGAAGTAATAGGAGTTATCCCTGATGACAAAGAATGGAACGTGATTTGATGATGCAATTCCGTATTTAAGTTAAAAGTAATATTATACATGTTATAAGGGTATGTCATGTGCTATTTCTGTTTACAACGGTTAATAAATGAATTATTTCAAAAACACATTTGCTACACCGGAGTTTTGAAGTCCACTTAGATTGAAACAGCCCTGGACGTGACTGTCTTATTGAGTAACTTTGAAAGTCACAAATAGATTCATATCACAAATGAAAACTTCTCTACCTATTTTGTTTTTTTTTATGGTAAGCGGAAGAAAAAAAACCCAATTAATATGTAATGCTAAACTGTGAAATTGATTTAGTTGTATGTTAAACACCTTTTGAATCGTCTCTTTTTTACCATAGTTTTAAATTGTTATGCTTTAAAATAACGATATTCAAATGGCCAATACATTTAAATTGATGGTATCTAACTAACTAGCTTATCTATCCCGTCAAATATGCTGGACGCCCGAATTCATTATTAAATATTCAACATATAGTAAATATTTCATATATTGTTTAGTAAACTACTATACATTTCATTCACTGATTATTTACAAAAAGAAAACTAAAGAAAGCTCCTCTCCGTACCAAAGGTAATGACACACTGAGAATAAAACACAGAGAAAAAAAAGCCATATAATAAATGATGGTCATAAAAGCTCTAGAAACCTGTGTTCTCTGGCAGAAATACCTTTCTACAGTCTGTCTTATAGCGACACCATCAGATATTGCGTTGATAATGCACTATCATTCTCAATCAACATATACTAGCCCGTCAACTATGCTGGACAATGAAATCTATTATTAATAGTCATTTGAAATTGAAATTCAGATATAAGAAATAGTCTTTGCCTTCAGCTTTGTGATGATTAATCTTTTTTAAAAATGTAATTTTGATGTGAACGCTTAACAGAACGGCTACAAAGTCCAATACAATTATATGTATACCTTCTCCCTGTAATGTTTTTGATTGGACAATTCCTTCTTAATAAACTGTTAATACAGACATTTTCCCACTATATTAGCTTTGTTATATTAAAGCGAATATAAAAAAAGGACGGCTACAAAGGCAAATACAATTATATGTATGCCTTCTACCTGTAATCGTTTTGATTACAAAACAATCCTGATTGGACAATTCCTTCTTAACAAACCGTTAATACAGACATATTGTTTGTATCGTTAGATGAAAACGGGGACAATACATGTATTTACACTATTAACGACCGACAGATCTATACCATTCGTACATGTACACCACGTACGCTTTCCATAATCAATATAGGTAGTAAAGTCTTTGAATGTTGTTTTTGGCGAGACTTTTATTTATTCTGGTTTTTTTGTATTTCATTCATAAAATTGTTTTATCGTAAAGGATAGTTTACAATCATAAACAACATATCCAAATCTTCGTATTGTCAAGGAAGTGTAGTAACATGAACATACTGACGATTAGTGTCAAATTACAATTTTTAACACTTAATTTTTTTTACGACCAAGCAGCCTTGAATCATTCAAACCATATATGTAAATAAAGGAAAACAATAGCAATCCAATGAGACTTAAAACGAAAAGATATACAGCTGTATCGTGCAAGCTCTTTAAAGTCATAAATAACTTGCACATAACAGTTGTTTGGTTGGGTTGTAGTTGTTAAGTATTAAATTTTCCAGTTAGTGTTTTGTAAACTGTCGTTAATACAAATTATATGCGTCGTGTTTTGATTCAGCCACAGTTCTTTTTTCTATGCCTGAAACAGATTTCTATTGACAAATTGGTATTTTTTTCCTTTTCTTAATTTGAAATTTTGTCAGAATGGTTAATAGATTGATTTTGCCTTTTTCTTAATATAAAAAAGAAGATGTGGTATGATTGCCAATGAATAAATTCTTCACAAGAGGCCACATGATACAGAAAATAACAACTATTGGTCACCATATGGCCTTTAACAATGAGCAAAACCCATACTACATAAACAGACATAGATAGCAAGTTCAAAGCAAAAACAACTAACAAAAAAAGCATGCATCTAAGAATAAACTGTCAATCAGTTCACATCCAAAATCCAATGGATTTAGTGTTAAGATGTCACAAACAGTCAGAGAAACCCATGACCTAGTGTAATGCTAAGACACAGGTATCGACAGATTGTATAGCCCTGAATTTGCATATGTATATAAGAGTTATATTTAGTTTGCTTTCAATTTACTGATAACAAAATCAATATTAATACCAATAAAACAATAATCAAAGATATTATTACATTATTGAATTGGTAACCTTTTAGAATGAGTTTATTTAAAGGATCGATAAGTTTATCAGGATCGTTTCTAAACTTCCGGGCACGGTAAACAACATCTCTGTAAAAATTAGGATGTGCTATCCCATTTGAAATAAGGTTTTTTACAGGTACAACAAAACGTCAAAACCAAATCTTTATATATATCTATGGAAGAATTTAGTAAAGGATTTAAGTAATTTGTTGTAAAGAAATCCCTGACTTAATAATTTACCGGTAATACATAGATTACATTCATTAAAATCCAAAACTTCACAACAGACTCGGGTATAGCGAACGAGTTGGGATATATAAACACCGTAAGATGGTGCCAAAGGAACATCACCATCCAAAAAATTGGAAATTAACAACAAGGAACGAAAATTGTCCCCTTTGTCGTAAAATTTAGTGTGGAGTTACCCGTGTAAATAGATATAAGAAGGTGTGATATGAGTGCCAATGAGACAACTCTCCAGCCAAGTTACAATTTGTAAAAGTAAACCATTATATGTCAAAGTACGGCCTTCAACACGGAGCCTTGTCTCAAGTCGAACAGCAAGCTATAAAAGGCCATAAAAATTACTAGTGAAAACCAGAAACGAGAAACACTTATGAAACAAACAAAAAAACGACAACTACTAAACATCAGGTTCCTGAAATATCTAAATCTAGGAAAGGACAGTTATGACCGCTTATTTTTTGTTCATTTTAAGTGAGTTCTTCTGGGTAAATTTCGGCAGTATATTAACAAAATTCTTGATTATTTAACGAAAAAACTATCATCAAGATAACAGAAAGTGTTGTTGAATTAATAATTTAAATGCGGGTCTTTACTGAGTTTGGCCATAAATTGTAATTCATAACAATACAAGAACAAGTCTGCTATTAAAGGGGTGTAATTAGTGCTTATAGGAATACCTACAACCTGTCGATACACTTTGTTGCCGAAAGGAACATAAATATTACCAAGGAAAAAATTAACAGCTTCAATCATCTCATAACACCGCCAATAAGTATATCTAGCACATTTTCCTTTCTTATTAGAGAAGAAGGCTACATAAGTTGCAGCAAATGTTGAGTAGGTAAGCAATACATGGGGACCTTTAAATGTTCAGAAGAGACCTTAAGCTGTGATGTGGTTATGATATGTTTGTTTACTATATGACTCTCTGTAGAGCGCACGGACTTGAATGTAGATGAATTCAAAATTTCATTCTTAGAACGTGTAGTATTTATGTCATATCACCACCACATTGTTGGCTGCTTTATCAGCCGGTACAAACACAAACCGCTTTGAAAGTTCTTGAATTTTATTTCTTTTTCTAGAAATAAGCGTATTATGTACTCTTTTATTTATTTCAGAGTTATTCTAAAAATGTGATATCTACAACAACATTCATACAACATTCATACAACATTCATACATTTATTTAAATAAGAACCAATTTCCCCGTGTAACCATTTTTTACAAAACGATGATAGGGTGTCTTTTGTGACACTTGTTCCTATCTATTTTAGACTGAGAACAATATTTTGTTCCTTTATTCAAAAAGCTTTTAACCTCTCTGTCATGAACGATATTGAGGTCCCCCGTAATAGCATAGAGATACTATCTAAAATTCGACGATTCACAGTTTCAATTTAGAGAAGTATTATTTTCTACATTGACGTCTGATGTTACTGATGTATAATTTAAAATGAAACTTCTGCTTCTAACGCCACTTTATTTGAAACCCATGAAATATTGTGTTGATACAGGTGTTATGTGTTGATACAGGTGTTACACTTCACCGTTCAATATATACATGAAGATAAAACAATATGAAAAAACAACTTTATGACCTATTAGAAGTGTCAGTATTAAAATCAGGATATTTTATGAAAACTAGAAGAAATAATCACTGCTGGGATAGCTAAACTTTAAGATTATAAAGATTGTAGAATTAATTCACAAGGAGGAGGAACTGAGTTAATAAATGATGTTATACACATTTGATCATTCTGAATACTAGTAATTTGTAATGTGTTTGAAAATGCATTTAAATACAACAGAAAATACATACAAAATTCTAACAAAACCGAAACAGTATGTCAGTTTTTAAGGACTTTCACTTTTTTTACTTGGAGTGCATTTTTTTAAATACTTTTTATATGATAAGTTAGTGTTCTAAAGCTACTATGCAAATACACATGTGTGGCTACGATGACAAATCGATGATCGCCAAGTTGGTTACTTATTTCTTATTCCTTTTTCGTAACTTATTCCTTATTCGTTACATATTCCTTATTTTTTATAATCGTTACTTATTCCTTATTCGTTACTTTTTCATTATTCCTTATTTCTTAATCGTTACTTTTTCATTATTCCTTATTCCTTATTCCTTATTCGTTACTTATTCGATTTAATATGTTTCCCCCATTTAAGGCTTTATTTATTTTCTTATCTCTGGTAATAGTTATTGGTTTATCGAGGTGAAATTACCCTTTTAGGTATCCGTTTTTGCGCTCGACTGTTCCCCAGTTACTTATTCGCTACTTATATGCTTCTGCGATTTTTATACGTTGCACTTTTGTATTGCTTTATTTTAGTGTCTCTGGTGTTGGTTCTTGGTTTGAAGAAGTGAAATTACCCTATTAAAGCATGTGTACCCGTTTCGGCGCTGTACTATACCCTATTACATTTTGCTACTTATTTGATCCTTATTCGATTTGTATACGTTGCACCATTTTACTGCGTTATTTTTATATTTCTAGTGTTGGGTCTTGGTTCAAAGATGTTTAATTACACTATTTGCGCGAGTGTACCGTTTCTGCGCTCGACTGTACCTTGTTAATTATTCGCTTTATATACGTTGAATCTTTTAAATGCTTTCTTTTTTTTTATTTCTTTGTCTCTGGTCTTAGTTCGTGGTTCGTAGTGTTAAAATTACCCCCATTTGCGCATGTCTACCCCTTTCTGCGCTGTAATAAAACTTGTTATTTATTCGCTACTTATTTGAGCTTTATTCGATTTTGATACGTTTTGTCTATTTACTGTTTTATTTTCGTGTTTGGTTCTTGGTTCGCAGAGTTGAAATTACACTATGAACGCGTGTGTACAGTTACTGCGCTCGACTTATATCTTGTTTCTTTTTCGTTCCTTATTCGCTTTTTATATGTTGCATGTATTTAATTCTCTCTTATCTTTTATTTCTTTGTCTCTGGTGTTAGTTCGTGGTTTGCAGGAGCAAACTTACCCTATTAGCGCGTATGAACCTGTTTCAGCGCTCGACTGATACCCTGTTACTTATTCGTTTCTTATTTACTTTTTAAACGTTGCATATTTTTAATGCTTTCTTTTCTTGTTTCTGATGTAAGCTGTGGGTTTGTTCATGGAAAATAACCCCATTAGCGCGTATGTACCCGTTTACTCACTCAACTGATACCCTGTTACTTATTCGTTACTTAACCGTTTATAATACGTTTCTGATACCTAATACCTTTTAAAAAAATCTTTTCGTTTTTTTTTTGTCTCTGGTGTTAGATATGGGTTTTTCGAGGTGAAAAAAAAAACTATTAGCGCGTATGTACCAGTTTCAGCGCTCGACTCATACCTTGTTACTTATTTGCTACTTATTTGTTCAATATTCTCTTTTAATACGTTGCATCATTTGAATGCTTTCTTTTCTCTTTTTTCTTTCTCTGGTATTAGCTGTGGGTTCACAGAGGTAAAAACACACCCTTTTAACGAGATTTAACTCTTTTTTATAATTCGGGTGCGTATATCCGGGGCAATTAATAAAAATAATAAAGCACCATAGACTGCAGCTATCTTCAAACAGGTCTAAACTACAAGGCTCAGGGTCTAAACCACTTGGTTGGGATCTTATCTGATAAAAACAACCCATTGGTCTACCAGACTTGGTGGTCCAATCTGAAAGTTGAAGATGTCCACCTATCTCATATATTTATAAGCACCACCAAAAAAATAAAATAAATAAACACCACTGACTGCAGCTTTCTTCCAACATGTATAAAATGCAAGCCTTGTGGTCTAAACAACTTGGTTTAGTTCTAGTTTGATAAACATAACCCGTTGGTCTACCAGACTTGGTGGTCCAGTCTGCAAGTCGAAGATGTCCACCCATCTCATATCTTTATAGCACATCACCCCTAAAAAACCATTAAGCGCTCTGGACTGTAGTTTTGTTTCAAAGTGTTTATAATGCAAGGCTCAACGTCTAAACCACTTGGTTGGGATCTTATCTTATAAACCCATTGGTCCACTAGACTTGGTGGTCCAGTCTGCAAGTTTATGATGACCACACATCTTATATATTTAAAAGCATAAAAAAGACATTAAGCAACACGGACTGCAGCTATCTTCGAATACGTTCAAAACGCAAGGTTCAGGATCTTAATCACTTTATTGTGGCCTTATATGGTGTCTATTGCCCATTCATCCACAAGACTTAGTGGTCCGGTCTACAAGGCTAGGATGTCCAGTCCTATAATGGTGCCTATCATGAAGCATATTTATGAGCACTACCAAAAATGAACTAAGCACCATGAGTTGTAGCTATCATTCATAGCTTAAACAAGCAAGGTTCAGAGTCTAAATCACAGTGCTGTGGTCTAAAATACTTAAAAGAACAGGAACTTCAAAGCAATATAAGTACTTTGTACAATACTAGGTCGACTGAATTTATTCAACTTTATTTTGGGCATGTCATATCATATGGTTATCATATATAACAATTGCAACTCTTGAAGAGCAAATAAAAAAAAAAAAAAAGAAATCAAAGAAGTAACAGGGTACCAGTCAAGCGCGGAGACGGGAAATTCGTGCCAACAGGATAATTTCATCTGCACGAACCAATAACTAACACCAGAAACAAGAAAAAAAAGAAAGGAGATAATTTAAAAGAGGCAACGTCTAAAAAGCGAACAAGGAACAAATAAGTAACAGAGTATCACTAGAGCGTAAAAACTGGCACAAATGCGCTAACTGGTATTTTAACACCACGAATCCAGGACTAACATAAAAAACAGATCAACATTAATAACATTTTGGTTTTACTATACATCTTGACAACCATAACGAAATAATGTGTTTCTTATTTGACATGCCAAATTTTGTTTGTCACGAGGTTTAAATGTCGATCTTTCTAACATTTCTTGGTAGCAAGAATGTAAAATACAGTCATCTGTTTTCAATAACTTACACCAATATCTAAGCATTCTGCAATATCTCTCTATGTACAACGGGTATCTACATAATTCACTATATACAATATAATTAACAGTAGTTGTTTGTACTTTCAATATACGTTTTAAAAAGCTTAAATGAACTTTCGCAATAGTTTCGGCTTTGTGATGTCCCCAGACTTTACAACAATAACTGAATATACAAGATACACATGTGTCAAAAAGAGATAACAAAGTTTATTGGTTAAAACAATCGTCATATATTTTACTATATAAAATAAATACTGAGAATTGCTTTTCTACCCTGGTTTGGCTATATTTTCTGTGTATGTACAAAGTTACCATTGTATTTAAAAGTATGCCAAGATATGTAAATGCATCACAAAATTCAATATCAACACCATTTAAGTACCATTTGCCAGTCGCTTTAACGAGTTCTCTATTTGTAAACATAACAATTTTGGTTTTAGACTAGTTAATATCTAAATTATACTCTGTAGAATATATGTCCAACTGTCTATCATCTTTTGTAAACCATCAATAGTTTCACTAAATAAAACTGTATCATCTGCATACATAAGTAAATATAAATTAAGCATATTTAACTCATATGACTGACAACCTTGACTTATAAGCTCAGTTTCAATGTCATTAATATACAAAGAATATAAAAGAGGAGATAATGATTCTCCTTGCATCAGTCCAACATTACTTTGGAAGAAATTTAAAAAATGTCCTTCCAGTTTAACACAAAGTTTAATTTTGGCATACATAGATTTAATACCAGTTAATAGGTTTCCACTTATACCACATCTGATTAATCTTAACCACAACTTGAAATAAGATACACTATCAAATCTTTTTTCATAGTCTATGAAACAGGAATAAAATCGTGTTCCACTACGCAAAGACTTAAGAATTACCTTACAAAAAATCGCAACAGCCCTAACACATTATAACATTATAATAAAGTTTAACACAAACACTATAAAATGTAAATACATCTGTGGATAGGTCAGAAAACTCTTCTAATGTTTTAATGTCATTATTCCATTTCTGTAACTACATCATCAGATCTAAAAGAGTAACAAGTTAAAATAAATAATATATAATGATATGTTATAGTCATTAACAATTACAAACACCAAACACAAATCAACTACTCTGTAATCATTCAGATTGTTATTGTTTGTATGTACGAATAAATAAAATAATGTTTCTGTTTTACAAAACCGCAATTAACTGTTAGAGCTCTGCATTAGATGTGACCAACAAGCATTTCTGTAAAGTCATCAAAATTGTATCCTAAGTACCAAAACAACTGATAGTATCTGCAAATGAATTCCAACTTTACAAGTTTGTCAAACATTTCTTTCCAGAATACGTTTTAGAAAAATTACCATTTTCTTAAGATTTTGCTTCTATCTTTTATGACTTACTTCGATCGCAGCTAATGAGTTGTGTGTAAACAAAACGCGCGTCTGGCGTACCAAATCATAAGCCTGGTATATATTTTGATAAGATTATATAATTTTGGATTGATCACCAAACTATCCCAGTAGTCAGTTCTTTTGTGTTGCAATGCAATTTAATGCATATCTTCATTTGCTGTAAGGGAACTTTTCATGAAAAGTTGAAATGTTCATAATGGTAAGGGTTTTTTCTTCTTCCAGACATCAAATGCCTTAGCCGTATTCTGCTAAAGTCTTAAGAATGTTCTGTTTGTAATGTTCACCGTATATGATATGGCCTTCACAATGTCTTGATTCGATAACAACTGATGATTCATATAAAGACAGAATTTGCATAGCATAGTATCTTCAATGAATATTTATAGCAGCGCCAAAATTTATGAAAAAATCAAACAGTACTAGTATTATATAATTTGAAAGCTGCAGCAATAGTTTCATAAAAAATGTTATGTTCTTATGAAACAACAGCATATATATCTACGAGTTTAAATGTCGCTCTGATATCTTTCGCCCCTTTTTGATAAGAGAGAACACGATAATTTTCAATGTACCGAAACAACTTATATGTATTAAGTCACCGTTAAATAATGTCAATTTTCAAATCACTGAATGAGATGTGTAACAAAAAGTTTTTGATCAACATATGCTATATAAGAAAAATGGAAGATGTGGTATGATTACCAATTAGATAACTCTCCACCAGAGACCAGATAACATAAAAATTAACAATTATAGGTTACCGATTTGCCTTCAACAATGAGCGAAACCCATAACGCCTAACAGTTATTAAAGGCCTCCAAATGACAAATGTAAACAATTCAAACGAAAAAATGAACGGTCTGATTTATGTACAAAGTAATGAACGAAAACAAATATGATATACATAAATAAACAACAATAACTGAATTACAGGCTACAAACTTGGGACATGCACATACATAATGTTGTAGGGTTATAATTACAATAACGCAATGACGGGATGAAGTTTCGAAGCAAATCGATACAAAGCAGGAAGACATCTAACAAATAAACAAACGTGTCCGGGTATTTATACATCCCCAGTAAATAAAACAATAAGTATATATCTGAGAGTACTCGCAGTTACTGACAGTTAGTTCGAAGCAAATAACAACTAATAAAAGAAATCATGTATCTAAGAATAAAATATTAATCAGTACACATCCAACATCCAATGGATTTAATGTAAAGACGTAATAAGAGTCAACGAAAACAACACGACCTTGTGCAGTGCCAGGTATCGACAGATGTGCATACGTATTTACAAATAATATTTATCTTGATTTTAAAAATGATAACAATATCAACATTAATACCAATAAAAAAATTATTCAAAGATCTAATTACTATGTTGAATTGGTAACCTTTTAGAATAAAGTTTTCGAAGTTTACCCGGATATAATGCATTGGCAGAGATACTTTCTCTGTCGAAGTTCTCCTATCACGTTCTGTTTAAATTAGAGCAATTTCATCAGTTCTTTAATCTTGATTTGTATAATAAAAATACATTTACATGTTTTGAAAATCGATAAACTACTAGTGCATCTATTTAAAATGTCTTATTAAATATTACACGAGTAAAATTTGGATATTTGTTGGTTTGTAGTTGTCAACCTTAGTTCTCTTTGTAAGGGTTCTGTTGTTCATCGTTTGTGCTAGGTTTTTTTGTTTACCTCTTTTCATTCGTAAACTTGTAATATATCCACTAATCCTATTTTTTCATTTGAAACAAAATTAAGATGTCATAGCATTACGGATTAATGCCAAAACTATTCAACGATAATTGCTTACAAACAATGATTTTGATGCAATACGTAGATGAAAATGATAATTACCTTTTACAATGCTTGTCCCGTGTCGTAAGCAGCTTGTTCAACAAAAAAGCTATTATTGACAAAATCACTATAATTCCACAAATAACCAACACGATATGTCCTACAGTATTGCGAGATGAATCTACGAATAAAACATGCTGTAGTATGAACCTTATTTTAATGATGTGATATTTCAATGTATGCGTTAGCACATGTGAAGGGGATACAATTGCAGTCTGAAACTGCACATAATACAACTGTCAATAAAGATTAGACGGATACTTAATGTAATACAAAATAAAGTTACTCTATTATAATTTCTCGACAAGACATCCAAGTTTTTCGGGTTGCATGTTATTGAAATGCTCAAACATTGTCTTTGGAACACATATAACTATCCTACCTAGGCTTTTAATTGTATTCAAAGAAAGAAAACAACTATTCAACTTTGAAATTTTGAATTAATTTTAAAAAATGTGTATTGAATTATATTAAATAAATTATAAATCAATAATACAAATAACAAACATAAGTTTGCTGTTAGTACAATCTGTCAACATCTAATATTGAAAAAGGATAAAAAGTCAATCATGCATAATGCTTTCATTATAGTACCACACACACCCCAGAATATGTAAAAACACTTTATAAATCATATCCGTAGAACGTTTAAGTAGTTATTATAATCACATTTGTTCAATAAAAAAGAATTCACGTTTCGTATTGCTTATTTTTTTTTTGTCTGCAATTGGAAGAAACACACTAAGCGCCTAATTGACTTCACTATCTATACAAGCATGTAACTTTAAATTTTAATCGTATTGTTGTCAGAACTGCGTTTCTTACCTTTGGTTCCCTTTGTATCCTTCATAACTGAAAAAACATATAGAAGTGAATATAAAAGAAATACTGTTTCATGTTTAACATGTACACAAGGAGATACAAATTATAATTGTAAGATAAATAATCGGTCTACTCATGACTCATACTCAAAATGTTATCAAAGTTTTGATACACCAAATTTAGGAAATTTAGTAGATGCTATCCCTTCTTGTTTGAGAAACTTAAGGACAGAAGTTGTTCAGAATCACATTGCTTCACGCATACACTGACATGAATAGTTCTAGTCAGCACACACCTATTGCTAGTACACGAAATATGAACTATCCAGAAAGCTTTTTGTCTTTTCAACCAAAATCTATGGATCCCGTTATACCACCTCCGAGTTCACCAAACATTGAAATGTCCCTAAGCGAACTTTGCCAGAAAATATCAAAGTAGAAATGAAATCAACAAAAATGGATCGAATTGAGGAGCGTTTAGAAACTATGGATAACATGTTTAGATCTGTAAATTCAGAAGTATGTGCCTTTAAGGTGAGAGGTTCGTAAATGAACGCCTCTAGCGGAAAATGGGCAAATTTGCGTTCGTTGTTATGAGAGTTATCTCCCTCACATCAGAAAAATATTTTCAAGATAACGGAAGGTATTCCGCTTCGTCGGAAAAATGGTCAATTCGGTGGAAAAGTATTGAATGCGTATCGTCAAAATATAACGAAAAGTGTAGTAACTGTAAATGAAATGTCTTGTCCGAGTGAAACATTGCTTCCCTCCCAAGAAAATGAAAGTAATTTGGCATGGCGTGATGGTCGAAGAGTGGTTGTGTTGACTGTTGGGTTTACTAGCTGACCAACTTAAAGCTTGCAAGAACTGCTATGCACCATTGTTTCTACACTACTGTTTAAAAGAACAAAAATACGGTCTCGGGAGCATTTTGTAAATACCTTGTGGTAGCTGTCCCTACACAAACTTAATAAACACTGGTAAACGGCACAGATCAGAGACTTTAAAAAAAGGAATGTTGATATGGGACGTGAATACAAAATGTAGTATGGGTAAGAATATTACAAACACTTACATATACACACAATAACAAATTAAAGCTCACACTATAACGTTGACTTTTTAATTTTTATTTTATTTATTGAAATTCCATAGCAAATAGCCTAGGCTATTTTCGAAGACTTACACTTACAGTTGCATACAAAGAAATAAATGCGTTTCTCAAAACAACTGTCAACACTAATAAGCGATATTCAACTCTCGACAAAAAAGAGAAAATACACTGTTTTATGCTTAATAATGATATTCTTGATTTGATATTCGTGTTAGATAATCACTTTCACGCATAAATATAAACATTTGGATGTTTATACAAACAAAAACCGTCGTTTACAGTGCTTTCTTTCACGTCCGCAATATGGTCTATAAATAGATGTGGAAAGTGCTAGTACTGAGTGTGAAAACTAAAGGATCAAAGCAAATAGTTTTTAACAAAAATATTGAACAAGAGTTTTAATTGCTGCGTGACATAAAATTTGCGGAATTACATCAGAAGGGTTAGCAAGAGAAAAGGAAAAGAAAATTGAATACGAATCGAAATGGGGAGGGGACCTTGTGCACGGACAAACAGGAATTAAGTAAAATGGTCTTACAAAATGAACGAAAAATTATAAAAAAAAGTTTACATGTTGCTCTTTAGTCAATTTGAAATGAACATTGTGAATAATGAGTTTCAAGCATGAAAATACGCGAAGGAAAAATTACAAATCCACTGCTCGAAAATTACCCTTTAGGTGTAATATCACCATTGATTTTCCCCTATTAGTCTTTGTTAAATTTGCACTTTTCAAAAAATTGTGCAGAATTTATCTTTGTTTCAAATAAAGAAGTACTTGGCATGAGTAAAGTTTTATACTGTCCAGTATTATAGAAAAAAATATTTCACATAACATTTCATTGCATATAAGAAAATAACCATCACTGGAAGTTAACCAATCAAATTTTCACCTCTTTTGTTTTTTACCTGTGTACAAGCTTTAGTAACCATGTAACCTCAAGTTTCCGAAATATTCTATAGAAACACCAAATAAATAAAATAATGGTGCTTAGAAACACCCAAGATATATGTTTAGGACCCAGAATTTTTTCTACTGCAATGAAAAAAGTAAAATCACAAAAATATGTAGGATTAATTTCCTACAACTGTCAAATTCAAGGGAATGGTTTTTTTTTTCATTGACGTAAACCCCACACTGATTGAAGAAATAAGTTATACATGTCGAGGGTCTCATATAATCCGTAAAAAAATAATAATCGGTAAATAATACTTTTTTTAGGCAGGTTAATTATTCCATAGGCGCTATATCGCATTAGTTTAGAGGAACAAATTATATTCAAAGAGACACCTTTATGAAACGGTCGTTGTCTTTGTGTGACAATATTTGATCATATTTCTATTTTGGTAGACGATGATTCTGCTGATGGAGATTTGACGTTGCGTAATCTTTTTCGGCAACGTCATGCAATTTCTATCTTTTCCCGTCGGCAACACCCTTTCAACGGCTGATATATAAAAGGGGACTTCGGTAACCATAGGAAAATTATATATCAATAGAAAGGAAAATTGTATAATTAAAACATTTAATTTTTATAGAAAAATCGTAGGAATAGTTGTTACTGCAGATTAAATTAAGCTTGAAATTTCTCTTTTTTGGTATAAATTTGACGTTATGTCTATGTACTGTATGGTGTTTTCCTAACATTTTCAAATGACTGTAACTTTGAAAGTAGATCGGTTACCCACTTAAATTTTTCGATTTTTCTTTGTATTTTAAAAAGTTCTACGTGTATACAATTTAAAAAAAAATCGTTGAACAAGCCATTTACGTACCTGTTACCTTAAACAGAGGTTGTATGTGCTTAAAAAAAGCATCAAATTCCTATCAGATGTGCACGACGAATCTAAAGTACTGAAAAGACGAAAAGATATACCAAAAAGTGGTATTGAATCAACAAAAACAAGGAACAAGGTACTAGGCATTGAAAAGCAAAGTTTAGTATACATTTCTTTTTTATATTTGACAAACAGCCAAATGTTAAAGGAAGGATACATATAAAGTTACAGATAGTAAGGAAGCTAGTCGGTCGAACGGGAAGGATGGGGGATGAAGTAACAACTAGAAAACAAAAAGTGTATGGAAAACATTTTGAACTTTTTGGATAGGGAAATGAAATTTAAAGATGCACAAAGCTTTCAAAAGGAAAACGCGTACCTCTTAGGGAGACGTTAAGATGAGATAAATAAACCGAGACCAAAAATGGTGAAATTTAGCAGCTTGTCAAATAGATCAAAAGTGAAAAATGCAACGAGAGGGTAATCGTCATGTCATATGTTTTCGTATGTGCTATGTTTTCGTATCATCCTTATTTCATATGTTTTTATTGCACACGCGTATATTGTGACGTGTTTTTCGGTTTCTATATTTGCAACAACAACATATTCAAAGTTGCTTTAAATGACGTTAGAACAAATTTAATGAAAAATTACCTGTTTAGCCATTTTTATTTAATGTCAAAAATATGCATCACTAGAATAGTTGTTGAGAAAAATTCTGAGAGGGTTACATGAAATACAGCTATGTAGTTTGCCTTTCAGACAACAGATCTGCAAGGCATGTGACTGCCATGTGTTTTTTTGGTCGTTTTTATTACAAACTAGCGAGTTAAAATGAACAGGGTTCTTATATAAAATGTGTGTTCAAACTTCATTCATTCAATATTCTATTGACAATTTTTTTATACATCCTTAATACATAAAGAATAAATCAGTCTTAGCTTTTTACATTTAATCACAAATTTTGAAAACTGCATTTCAAATAAAAAAAACATAATGTCTTTTGAAGAAACCCAGTGCCAATCTGAAAAAAATTTACAATGTTACAATTTCGGCACATTAAATATCAACCAAAAACTATTTACTAGTTATTTTTAGTACTGAAAAGAATTAAATAACTTTTTTTATGATTCAAGCAATTACCGGTACCACGACTTTAGAAAATACTCATTTCCGGATTTTAAAGTCATTTCCTGTCCGTGTAGTGATCCAGTTTTTACTTCATACGAAAACATATGACGCCCTGTTTTTTTACATACGAAAATCGCAAAATAATCGGAAACAGTACAGAATCGTAGTAAGACTTGGCAAATTAATCTAGATACCTAAAAATGTTCGACAGAACATGCTTTTAAAATTTGAGTACACACATGAATAAAAACTCAACGGTGAAAACCGTAGGCAGTGAAAATTTTTATTAGTACGAAAACACATCACACGATGATAAATGGCACTAAATTTATTATAAGCCCTCATTACCCTCGTGAAATTTTCGAAACTCTTATTATATTTAAAGAGTGAAAAAGGAAAAAAAACATCATACATTATGAGTGACAAATTGTATGTTGACGGAAAATTATGGGAAGGAAGGGACAAAGCAGAGTGTGATGAAAATTTGCCCTATTGACGAAAACATGTGTTTAGTATCTGTTTTTGGAATATTTCTAAGGGTCTATTTCGGAAATCGTCTGTTCAAGATTTTCTACAAATAGTGCTTAACTATGTTGTGTTGTGATTTTATGAATATTTGGTCAGAACCAAAGCAGAGCGGTTTGAAATAAAGGGTTGTAGTAAAAGAGACATCTGAATAGAGCAAAGTGTAATGGCTAAGATATAGGGATATTTTTTAAGAAATGGTTCAGTAAATATAATTAAGAAGATGTGATGTGATTGCCAATGAGACAAATCTTTACAGCAGACTAAATGATACAGAAATTAACAACTATATGTTACCGTACGGCCTTCAACAACGAGTTAAGCCTATACCGCATAGTCAGCTATAAAGACCCCGAAATGACAAATGTAATACAATTCAAAAGAGAAAACTAACAGCCTTACCTATGTACAAAAAAGTTAACGAAAAACAAAAATGTAACACAGCAACAAACAACAACCACTGAATTAAAGGCTCATGACTTGCGACAG